AGAGAGAGAGAGAGAGAGAGAGAGAGAGAGAGACGGTGGTCTTTTCAAAATTTTCTAATATTAGGAAAACATAAAAATAATGTAAAAAAGAAATTCGAAGGGCAAAAAAGTCTTTTCATGTTAGACAGAGACCATATCCACAAAAAACATTCAATTTTGAACCAGTGGTTCAAATTGAAAAGATTTTGGACTTCATCCATATTTTTTTTTGCTAACTATAAGGACCAAATTTATATTTTAGTCTACAAAATAATAATGATGGGCGATAATATGCCAGCATTATTTTTAATTGGTGGAGTGATACCCACTTATAGCTTTAAATAAAAAAATATATAAATAACTATATCCTTTGATGGGATTGAAAGGAATTTATTTAAGATTTAGGGGTTAAAATAAATGCCCTCTATTCTTGTAGGTGTAATTTTGTCAATCATCCTGTAGTTTTCCTTTCATCTCTTTTCCCTGTCCACATTATCCAGTCCTTCCCTACCCCTCCCCTGCATTTCACGCGAAACGCACGTTTCCCCTATCTCACATAAATTCTCCTCACTATCTCTCTCATCTTGATTTTATTGCTTCGCATCGATAACTCCCCCTGTCGTCTCCTCTTTTTCTTGAAAAAAGTTAAAAGGAAAACACCCTTATGCTTTTCTTTACTAAACACTCAAAAAATCTACATTCATATCTAATTATGTATACCCCTTTTCTATTTGATCATGTCCGTATCAAGAAAAGGCTGCATTTTTCATCTTAACTCTTTTACCCTTTAGTTTGTTGATGCTTTAGGGTTCTCGAAGCCTTCTTTTACACTTTTTTTTCTCTGTCATTTGTTTTGCATGACAGTTTTGTGATCTGTCGCATACCCATTTGATCATTTCCGGGCTCATTTCGAGTTTTCAACCTAATTTCTCATCTGGGTTTCACTTGTTCTCTCATTTATTGTACGCTTGCTTCTGGTTTTTGATAATGCTTGATAGCGTAACGAATTTTGGACCACATTGGGTCTTTTCCAAGAATTCCGTTTGAAGTGTAGAATCTTTGTTGACTTATGGGGGTTTATTAGTCGAATCTTTTAGGGGTTTTTTCGGAAGAAAAATGCCTGAAAAGATTGGAACTTTGAGTTTGGATAAAATGGAGGAAAGTAGGAAGAAAGAAGACGAGATTGAGATACGAGGGTGTTGGATTAAGTTCAGATTCTTGGGGAGATGCATTTCCACAAGGTCTAAAGTGGAAAACTCCATTTGTGGGAATAGCATTCCATATGGTATGAAATTTTTAGCAAATTTCTTTATGACCAAATTAATAACTCAATATTTGTTTTGAAATCTACTTCAATTGCTTCTATTATGCTTGTTTTGATTCTAATTGTCCAAGTTCTTGTGATCATATCCAATTTATGCATTTCAAGTGTATCTTGCATTCAATGGTTTCCATTTGTAGAGAATTGTCATTCTTTAAAGGGGAAATTTCGATAAAAAGCACCATACTTTCACTTCATTTCTAATTTAGTCACTATCATTACTAAAAGATTTCAACTTTCCAAAACCATCGGCTTTTCTAAAGAAAAAGGGAAAATTGCTAAAAAATAATTATATTTTGGGCACTTTTGTAATTTATTCACTAATGTTTTATTTGTTCCAATTAAACCGTAAAAGTTTCATATATTTTTCTAAATCAACTATTTTGACCAATTATAATAGGTTTCACCTGTATTTTTTGAAATTAACCATCTTGACATGTTACTTATATTCGGTCAAAATAGTTAATCTAGAAAAATGTTGAAACTTTTATGATTTTATTGAAAAACATGATGGATAACTAGTTAAGCTGCAAGATTACAATTATAATGTTTTTTTTTTTTTTTTTTTTTTTTTTTTTTTTTTTTGTGTGTGTGTGTGTGTGTGTGTGTAGTTTGCCAATAGAAAAACATTCAGTTTTATGTCATGTCACATTTGTCCGAAATTACCCAAAGTATTAATCTTGATAAGTATAGTGATTATAGTACAATGTTAAAGTCTAGTAACCAAATTAGAAATGAAGTGAAAGTATGTTATGTTATGTTCTTATTATGTCGACTATGTGTTCAAAGTTTCTTCTATTATTCATGCTTTTTACACAACCTAATTTCGGAACATGAAATCACTCTAGATTCCAATAAAAGAAATTCATATCTTTTTATGGAAATGATCTAAACCAAAAAATATACCTTTGAATTCTTTTCCGCAAAAAAGTTACTTTTTCATAACCCCTAAGCTGGCCCACACTCGTACTGTCCCAGAAGCATCATGTCAGATGGCCCACTATAAGTGCCCAATTTCTACAAGGAGCCCAGTCCATATTGGAATTAAAACTCTCACACTGCAACTGTTGAGTTACGAATATACTATTATACATTTATACCACCCCAAATTTATCTATATGACTAATTTTGTCCCTTGATTTTGTGTTTATTACATGAACAAGTTGAAAGTAAATCTACAAACAACAAAATTTTGGATCAACCTGTTGTCCACCCGACTTTATCTGCAACCACTAGCAACACGGAAAGCACTCCATCAACTCCAAATGCAACCGAGGATCTAAAAATTGCATCACAACTTAGAAAATTCAATTTCAATGAACTTAAATCGGCTACAAGGAGTTTTAGACCCGAAAGCCTTCTTGGTGAAGGTGGATTTGGTTGTGTTTTCAAAGGATGGATCAATGAGAATGGGACAACACCCGTGAAGCCCGGGACAGGATTATCCGTTGCGGTCAAGACCCTCAATCATGATGGTCTTCAGGGTCACAAAGAATGGCTCGTATGACCCTTTATATATATATATATATATATATAGATATATATATATATATATATATATATATATATATTATATTTTTAAACTATGTTTTTTATTTTATTTTTTTTGGTATATTATTTATGGTTGATGGGTTTTATTGATGTTGAAATTGTGGCAGGCGGAAGTTAATTTTCTTGGTGATCTTTTGCATCCGAATTTGGTTAAATTGATCGGTTATTGCATTGAGGATGATCAAAGGTTGCTTGTGTACGAGTTTATGCCTCGTGGAAGCCTTGAAAACCATCTTTTTAGAAGTATGTGATTCTTTTTTCATATGTTATAGACAATTATTCAAGAATTTTTTTTTTGGGAGGGTTATATGCAAGAAATAGCAATGTACTTTCATTTATTTTTTTTTCTTATTAGCGGTGAAAATTGCTTTTATTTGGTCAAATTTTCAAAATACAATGGTGTAATAGGTAAAAATGAAAGTAGGATGCTATAGTAAACACATCAATGAAAATACGTTGCTTTTTCTTGCGTTTAACCCTTTTCAAGATGCTCATATTATCTTATCAAATTAAGGCCAAATTACGCACGAACTACCTTTCTAGGCTGCTTTCAATGAGGATGATGAGGAGGGCATTAATGTCTTTTGTACGAGCAAGTCTCTCTCCCACCTTTTTGTGTGCAACTTTTGTCACACTTTTTGGGTTGGACAATAAATTCTTCCTTTTTTGTCCCATGCTTTTTCCGGTGGAAATTTTTGTCCTATTGACATTGGTTCCAGTCCACTGCAACCAAACACAGTACAACCTGTTTTGTCTTGTACTATAACAAACGGGCCCTACATCGGATTGTATTTTGGCAGGATCATTGCCACTACCTTGGGGGACTAGAATGAAAATTGCTCTAGGTGCAGCAAAGGGTCTTGCTTTTCTTCATGAGGAAGCCGAACGACCCGTTATTTATCGAGATTTTAAGACATCGAATATTTTACTAGATGCGGTTTGTGGCTTTTGACTTTTTATTTATTTATTTATGATATTCATCTTTATGATTGATAAATTTTAATTGTTTTTTGTTCTTGTTTTAGGATTATAACGCGAAGCTATCTGATTTTGGACTTGCTAAAGATGGTCCGGAAGGAGATAATACACACGTATCGACTCGTGTGATGGGAACTTATGGTTATGCTGCACCCGAGTATGTGATGACAGGTATAAATGTTTAAAAAGTATTTAAGAAATGACCATTTTACCCTTTGCTGCTGAATAACCAATTACCTTGGCTTATCAAAATGTGAACATATGACTGCTTATCTAAAGTCAAAGAAATGAGTAGATGACCATGTTGTCCTCTGTCTAAATGTTATGTTAATAACAAATGACTCTTTATCTTTACCTCATCTTAATGTCATAATGTGTATAAACTACTATTTTTCTTTCTGTTTTCAAAGTGAGATTTTATATGAAATGAGTAAATAACCATTTGACAAATCTTGTTTAAAAGTGATGCAAATAATAAATAACTCATTATCTTAACATGAATAAGTAACCATTTGCCCTAATAAAAGATGTCGAATAACAAATAACTATAACTATTTATCTGATCTGATAATCTGAATCGGAGTAGATGAACATGAAATTACATTCATGCTACACTCTATATCTAACAACAATCCAACAAATGCCAGGTCACCTAACATCAAAGAGCGACGTATATAGTTTCGGAGTAGTTTTACTCGAAATGATAACCGGGCGAAGATCCATGGACAAAAACCGACCCACCGGAGAACACAACCTTGTAGAATGGGCAAGACCATATCTAGGAGAAAGACGGCGGTTCTACCAATTAATGGATCCACTTCTCGAAGGTCGATTCTCCGTTAGAGGTGCACAAAAAGCCGCGCAATTAGCCGCGCTTTGCTTGAATCGTGACCCAAAAGCTCGACCCTTAATGAGCGATGTTTATGAAGTTTTGAAACCACTCGTGAATCTCAAGGATATGGCATGTTCGTCGCCGTATTTTCAGGCGGTGCATATGGGCGGCAATCAGGGCGGTGGAAGTGGTGGAGGAGGGTTTAAAGGGCAGGCGATTAGGAGCCTTTCGATTCCGGGCTGCCCGTATGTGTCTCCACATCGCCGTGGTGGTGATCAACTTTGTCGGTCTCCGAAACCGGTCAGATGACCGGATGTAATTGACTAATTGGGAGTGAAAAGTGAAACACTCCCTTTTTCACCCTTTTTTGTGGTGTTTTAATAACTTTTTTTGTGACTCTTGCGAATTGGGTTTGTTTTATGTTACAAAGGGAACTGCTTTTTGCAACTTTGCTTCTTTGTTGGTTAACTTTTATTCTAAAGAATGTACTGTTCAAATTAATATTTAAAGATTTTATATTATAAAGATGAAATTATGTAGTTGGTCTACCTGGTCTTGGAACATAGATACAACTATTGAAAGTTTTTATACAATTGGTCTTAAGACTGTAGTAACCCAGATTCATATACAATATAAGATTATAAGATGATAATGGTGAAATTAAGAATATCAGATATAAGATTATAAGATGATAATGGTGAAATTAAGAATATCTGATGAATCAATCTCAAATAAACAAGAAATTGGTGAAATATTTATGGATTTATATGATCAGCATATCTCACTACAATGAAGAAACTTTAAATGAAAAAAGATGAACTTTTTACTTTCCCTATCTATGACAAAAGCGACAATCTAAAATAAAAAATAACCTAAACTATTTAGACTATCTGGTATGGGTTACCCCGTTAATCCGATGTGGACACCAAATAACGTCGTCATAATGGCCAGCACACCACCCAGCCATGCGTCATCCGACGTTATGTGATTGCGCGTTACTGTGGTAACGGGAGGCAACGGGGTTTGGGTTGCTAGTTTCGATCAAAATGGTCATATTTTCGACCGTTGTTAAATGGTCACAAACCAAAAAAAATAAAAATAAAAAATAAAAATCCTATTTTTATATACTATAAATACACATATTTTACTCATTTTTACCTACAAAATGCATTTATTTCTCTCAATTTCAAAACAAAAAAATGGATATTTTGATCCGTTCCATCCATTCAATGATGATAACTACGGCGACGATATGTTTGTGAGTACGATGTACCAATATTTCTATGGATGTGCTACTACAGCCAGAGTCAACTTCACTACTCACAAGACATGCGGTGTTAAACATAGATCGTGAAGAAAGGCATAAACGTCTAGTAAACAATTATTTTGCGGATAATTGTGCCTACCAACCTAGCGATTTCAAAAGAAGATTTTGTTTGCGAAAAAATGTGTTTCAACGGATAGCCAATACATTGGAAAGCAGGTATCGTAAATACAGGTTAAATAATCGTTTTTATATAAAATAAATACACTTAAATATATGTGTTTTATACAGTTTTTAGATAATCGTTTTTTATCAATTAAATATATGTTTAGGTATGAATTTTTTCAAATGAGGTATGATGCGAGACGTAAGCGAGGTTTCACAGTGTTGCAGAAATGTGTTGCTGCAATCAAGCTTATGGCTATGGGGGAGTCGCCCGATTCTATTAATGCCTATATGAGAATGTCGGAGCGAACTGCACGATAAAGTTTGTATAGATTGGCAAGAGGTGTTGTTGAAACCTTCAGTGACAAATTGTAACACCCGATGGTTCTAAGGTAATATTTATTTAATTGTCTAAATCAGTTAAGTTGTATTGGGCTTAGTGGATTGGGCCTTTATGTGTGGGCTTAGTCGAGGTCGTACGTTGGGCGTAAGCCTGGTGTACGCGGGGCGTAGATGGATCATAAGAAATGCGGAGGCATGCACGTACGTGCAACGTACAAGGTGGTACGCACAGCGTACGTGATAAGACTCAAAACCCTAATTTCTAGGGTTCAAGCCCTATAAAATGTCATTAAGTCCCAAGTGTTAGTCTCCTTATCAGCCTCTATTGTCCAGAAACCCTAATATCGAACTCTATAGCATCTTGGTGTGTTCTTGACCTTGTGGAGTGTATTTTTAGTAGTTTGGTGCCTTGGAAGGAAGAAGAAGAAGTTGGTGAAGAAGAGTTGTTGGAGCTTGAGCTTGAAGATCCGAGTTATCATCATCATTTGGCACTCATTTGAGGTATAAATCTCTGAACTTGTTGTGTTATAGCTTAGATTTCCTTTGTTGAGTTTTTGGACCCTTTTTGGTCCCATAGATGAGATCTTGTGGATTATTATCATTTCTGAAGCTTAAAGTTGCAACTCTTGGTGTTCTTTTGGTCCTAGAGTCATAAAGTTGCCATTTTTGAAGCTTAGAACCATCCATGCATGAGTTTGAGTTCATTTAATGGAAGTACAATGTTATATTTTTAGGTTTGGGTTCATTTGGAGCATGCAAAGCCACCAAGTTAATGAATTTATGGTTTAAGATGTTGCATATGACTCAGATCTGTGATTGGGACCCTTGGACTTAAGTAATTAAGAGCTTACTGGATAAATGGCTTAATGAGTGAGTACGTTGGGCGTACAAGCTCGTGCGTGCAGCGTACAAGCCATGCAACGTGTACGCTTAGCGTACAGTCGAGTACGCCCCGCGTACTCAGTGATTAGGCTTTGCGTCTTTTGGGCCTCGGTTGGGCTACTTCTTTGGACATTGCTATTTTGAGCCTTATGGGCCATCTGAAATCGAGCCTTTGGACTGAGGCAGTTTATTGGGCCTAGGGGTAAGGCCCATATTGGGGGTTTGCGCCTAATTTGGAAAATTTGGCCATAAATGGGCCTTGGAGGAACAAATGGTTTTGGGCCTTGGTCTTGGATCATATTAGGTCAGGGGTAAAATGGTTATTTTACCCCAAGAATGGATTATTGAATATAGTATGGAACCCAAGTGTTTGGTGTTATTGTGTACTGTTAGCTCGAAGAGTCGTCAGGGGAGCAACTAGGGATTTATTTTAGTGAGACTCAGCATTCAAGGTGAGTTTCCTCACTGGGTTTAGTGGGTCTAAGGCACCAAAGACGACCCTGGATTGGTTATGTTAGTATACTTGTTGTCTATGTGATACTTGTATGTGATTGTATATGCATGTTATTTTGGGCGGGGCCCGTTATGCGAGTGCGGGCGGGTCCCGTATCTCATTGGGCAGGGCCCGTTATGCGAGTGTGGGCAGGGCCCGTTATGTGATATGTATGGTATGCGATAATCTTGGGGATCTCAATAAGCTTTGTGCTTACGGTTTTTAGTTTATGTTTCAGGTACTTCTGGTTCCAAGGGGAAGAGCTCATGTTGACTGCATCGCAGACACCATACGAAGTCTGTTTATGGGACATACTCTAATTTTCATGATGTTTGACATACTTATTTTATTGGGATGTATGATCAATGTTTTGGGAATGCTGTTTTACTTAAATAAAAATTGAAATTTTTAGGTCATGTTTTAAGGATGTTACAAGTTGGTATCAGAGCCGTGGTTTGAGGGATTCAGACACACTCTCAGGTGCGTCTGAACTCAGACTAAGGATTTGGTAAAAGTTTTCAAAAAGAAAAATAAATTCTTAGAAAGAGTTTTCTAAAATATGGAAAGGTGTGGTGCATGCAATCAGCCGAGCTCAAGTAAGTATCCCAAAATACCCATACATATTTTATGATATGCTTTGAATTGTGAATCTATGAATCGCATGCTAGATTAGGGCTAATGATCTAGGATAAATGCCTTTGTATTCCTGTTGTATGAGCTTATAGAATTGCATGCTAGTGCTTATCAGTCAGTGATAGGATGACATGATTAGGTTATGCTTGGTTCTAATTATCTGATGCTCGAATGTTGCTTGCTTTGTGCTTTTAGTAGTTCTAACTAGCTTCAGTTAACTAGTAAACGAATATGCTAAGTTACATATTATGGGAACTAAATAATTTTATAGGGTTAGGTTTTAACTCTATTGCGCAGCTCTTGTTTGAGTTCAACCGTTGTAGTGTGAGACCTCTCATTCAAAAAATTATCTAGTTTTTGTAATATGTAATTGTATTCGTGGTCTAGTTAGAGGACGTTAGCGGGAGTTTCCTTCTGCAGCTGATGGCGGAGATTGGTGTGGAGCTTGCCCTAGGAAAACCTAGGATGAGATCTAGTGCGGTTGAGCACCTTTCGCGCTGAGATTGCGGCTTTGGTCGCGACGCGTTCTCTGACTTTCAGGGAGTTTCGGGCATGTGGAGCACCAGATTATCACTGGGCGAGGGAGCCCATTGCGAGCAGTAGGTGGTTTGCAGATGTTGCTAACACCTTCTGTACCATCCGTTGTCCCGAGGGGGACAAGGTCAGACTAGCTTCCCGCCTCTTGAAGGATAGGGCACGTGATTGGTGGGAGGAGTTAGGGCGTGTTGTGGGTGATGATGTCGTTGATTTGATGACCTGGGGTGGTTTCCCGACCAGGTTCCGAGCTGAGTTTGCACCGGTGATTGAGGTACAGCAGTTGGCGCGAGAGTTCCAGTATCTCCGTCAGACTAGAGAGACGGTGGCTGAGATCACCGCTATGTTCAGGGAGATGACACTTTTGATTCCGCAGTAGTGGCTGATGAGGGGATGAAGAAAGCCCAGTACCATGAGATGCTGAGGAGTGACATTCGGCAGTTTGTTAGCCGATCCAGCTGGAAGACATGATAGTGAGGGCTAGGGAGATGGAGATTGATTTAGAGATGGAGAAGAAGAGGAAGCTAGATTTTGTGTCTAGTGTTGAGGGTTCGGGCAAGAGATCCAAGGTGATTGATTCGAGAGGGAAGGGTCAGCAGGGCCGAGGCCGTTACGGCAAGTGCGGCAGGTCGCACGAGGGGATGTGCAGGGTGGGTGCTTCTGGCTGCTTCAAGTGCGGCCGGACTGGTCATATCAGCAGGGATTGTACTGCTACTACCAGCATCACCCCGGTATCTGATCTGATTTACTTTCAATGCAATCAGAGGGGCCACAAGAAGGCCCATTGTTCAAGTTTGGATGCTTCAGGGCCGATGTCAACACCCGATCCTGCGACTCTTCGGTTTACTGACGGCCGCCATGGTCGGGCAAATACGCCTGCGGCGAAGAGCCGGCTCCTTTCCTTTTGAAAAAAGAAGTACCTGAAACCAAAACTGAAAACCGTAAGCACAAAGGTTAGTGAGTTCCCCCCATCATAACACATACTATACAATCACATAATGCCTAGCATATCTGGGTGCTGGCCTACCCCTTCGGTCTCTTTCAACCGTTAACTGCCTAGCATACCTAGGTGTTGGCCTACCCCTTCGGTCTCTTTCAACCGGTAACTGCCTAGCATACCTG